CAGAAACACAGACACTTACAGAATTTATCAAAACCCTAAAAGTAAAGTTAAATAACTTGTTAATTATGCAAGCATGTAATCTAAAAATGATATGAAATAATCCTCAAGGAGTAAGGATTACTATAATCAAATTAAGGACATAAGTTAATTAGAAAGTTTTTGAGTTATAAGCCAAGTCCTTAGGTGTGGAAATATTTTTGTCACCCCCCTGTATAATAAAAGTTAAACATGTTCTAAAGGTTCTAAAGGTAATTTATTACTAAATAATAATCACGAACAAATTTAAAATGAACTGTAAACTTGAATTAAAATGTACAAATGACCGAATATGCAAATTCTACACTTTCCAAATAATATAGTTCTTTATAAAAAGTTCGCTATAGTAAGCTTCTGTTGTAATTGGATTTATAAACAAATCTACAAAATTAACACAAATAAAATAATTCGAACGAAGTTATGAAAGATTGTAGAATCTAAATTATACTTACGAATTAAATAATAGAAAGAATCAATCTGCTCAAATAACTCTTGAAATAATGAAGAATTTGAATCACGGAATCAATAAATATATTTAGTATTCTCTTGATATAAGTTGTAATAAAGATTTTTTCCTTAGTCCGAGAACTTCACTCATAAGTCGCATTCGTTTTTTTTATCGGTTTCTTGTATTTCTACATATAAGGTTTCCTTTATTTTTTATCGAAATATGAATTACAAACGAATTAAAAAAATTTCATATACAATTAACTTTCTTACAATAAACTTACAGTTCTAATAGTAATAATTCTTAAAAGTTCAAATTTATTATGTTCCTATATCGAACTTCACCACATTTTTTTATTAAGAGAGTTGACTGTTTACAGTGTCGCATCAAAACAGAATGAAATCAGATTATCATATGACTGCGTTCTCGATTAGTGGTACATTGAATTTGCTGGTAAGCAGCACCTCTTAACAAATTCCCAGTTTGGCAAAATTATATAAAGCAATTCTACAAATTTTTCCATCATGAAAATATGCACTTTTAATCTCATAATGTAAACATAAAAGGTGGTGCTTATTTGTAGTAAGACACAACATTGTTGAGAAATAAATGTTGAAATCATATATATTATTTTTTAAAACTTAGCATTAAGTAAGTATTGAAAAAATAAAGTTATTTCTTCCTAATTCTTAACTACTTGAAACACTTCATAATCTAAAATTTCAAATGAATCTGAGGTTGCAAATGGATTTGGGATTACAATGTTAGGGTAGGAATGTACATTAAATTTCCAAATATTACCGTTACTTGGAACGTATAAATCATGACTAACTTCCAAAGTTTGATTACTTCCGATACCTCCGGGAGTTTGAAAACCGAAACCTCCAAAATTTGCACCACTTCCAAAAGTTGGACCACCTCTGAATGCTGTACCACCTCCGAAAGTTGGACCACCTTTGAAAGTTTTACCACCTCCGAAAGTTGGACCGCCTCCAAAATTTGGACCGCCTCCAAAAGTTGCACCATCTCCAAAAATTCTACCACCTCCAAAAGTTGTACCATCTCCAAAAATTCTACCACCTCCAAAAGTTGTACCATCTCCAAAAACTCTACCACCTCCAAAAGTTGAATTACCTCCAAATGTTGCACCACCGCCAAAAGTTGGACCGCAGTAATTATGGCAATAAACTGCATAATTACTATTAGTAGCATGTCCAAATCTTGTATTTATAGGATCATTAAGATCGTTTAATGAAATTGAAAATATGAAACTATCTGTCGTACTTATATAACCATTTCCATTCCAATCAAGTGGATTATAACCACCAACCAGCATATTCGAATTTGAAATTTTCGCTACAACAATTGTTGCTCCTTTATTATCACATTTATAATGAAACACTTGGGATGAAAACCCATCTACGCTGCTTCGAAAAAGAAGATTAAAATTATATCGAATTTCCTTTGTACTCTCATTATTCATAATTTTTTTATTTATCCATTTTGTAAATAATAGTGCAATTCTTTTATTAATTATAGTTGAATCAACTTTGATGTTGATGTTGCCCTCTCTGATTGGAAATGTGTGGTAGTGCGATATGGCACCTGGAACTAAATAGCAACGTAACATATCCTCGATTAAGTTTTCAGGAAGGAGCTGCCTGAGTGGCCATACATCTCGCATAAACTCTTCTGATTTTATTTGATGAAATCTAACAAGTTTAATTAATTCACTTATTGTCTTTTCTAACTTATTAAAGTCGTTAGACGTAAATTTTGCCACATTACTTTGAAATGTCGAATGTTGTGCAATTCCCCATTTAATTATCAATTTCCAGATATCAATTTCTTTCACATCAAGGTCGTCCCGGTTAAGAATTAATACTAGTATTTCTTTTTCTAATGAAAAGAATTCTTCTGAATTAAATAATAATTCAAGATTTTCACAAATTGTCTCTAAAGAAAATTTTCTAAGTTCATTAAATGCGTCATTATGGATAATAAAATGAAGTATTTTGATAGGATTTTGCCGTAAAAAGTCTTTGTAATTTCTATTAAAGATCTCTAAATAAATATTTTTAAGATTATCGAATGCATTATGACAGGTAACAAGATCAAGCATTTTGATGGGATCTGATTGTAAAAAATTATAACAATTTTGAATTAAAAATTCTTGAACAGAATTAATAAGTCTTTGAATTCCAAGTTCATCTGCTGCAATTAAAAGTTCTAAGATTATTTCGCTTTTTTGGCTTTGAAAGTCCATTATTCCGCAATAAAGGTACCTTAACAATGTTAACATTAAATTAGAATCATTATAATCCAAAATGATTATTAGAATAATTCAATAATTCATTACTTACTTAAGGATAATTTCGAAGACTAATGCACTAATATTAGGCTTTTTGAAAATTAAAAAACCATTATTATTTCTTTCAGCCCAATTATAAGAAAATGCACTATGAAAATAAGATGACCTAGTTCGAAGAATTAAAGAATGGACTTGAAATTCTTTAATACTTGGTTCTTTTCCAACGATAATAATCGCATCATAATCTTCCTTAGTTTCATATAGTTTGTTAAAATCGTCAGCTAGTTCACTAATATACATTGTGGACATCATTTGGTTCAGGTCCCATAGTCCTCTAGTTGCCATCTGAGGTGATTATTTTTTTCTCAATGAAGACAAAATTTCAAATATTAGGGATATTTAAACTGAATCAAAAATGCAGTGACTTGCGCAGTACAGATAATACGGACTTTATTATCCGGCAGATTAGCAGTAATCACGTCATTTACCAAATAACGCAATGATTTACTTATTTGTGTAAAAAAGGAAAACAAATTAACTGCGTAAAGAAAAAGGTGGTATTAACACTAGAGGCTATAGTGATTTGATTGTCGCTTATTATAAAGTATGTAAAATTTCATTCCTTCATTTTTAATTAGTGCAAAAAGATCCAAAGATCGTTTAAACACTAGTTTTTGAGATTCGCTTTTTTCTTCTTATATTACATAAGCTACTGATAAGTATATAAAAGACACATAAGCATGCATAACATAACACGAGCGAGTCAATTTAAAAAATCATAAATAGTTGGCAACTGGATTAGGATATTGTCAAACAAAAGATTGTGATTTTATTATCCGGAGCATAGAGCCCCGCCAGGGGTCTAGAAACTTTTGCAGTAATGTATAGAAAATGACCAATCGGAATTCGTAAATTTTGATCATCCCGAATCAGTCCGACGTCAAAACAAAACACGTGTGCAAGAAGAAAAAAAGAGAAAAAAGCGAAAATACTCAAAAACTAGTGTTTAAATCTGCATTTAAGCACTAACAAAAAGTGTTGGAAATGCAATTTTACATATAATATATAAAGCTAAAAACTCTAACACAAACCCTAACACGAACCCGAACCCAAACCCTAAACTAAAGCAAAAAAATACACCACACCACATGATGGTCACATTACTGCAAAAGTGTCTAGACTAGAGATGTGCAAAATACATTATGCATTCAATGTTGCATGCTACATAATGCAGCATAATGCGATGCAGGCTACCTAAAATTTCAAAATGCACATAGAAATTATTATATAATTTTGATTTAAAAATTTTTAACTATAGTAATAAAATTATTATCTTGTGCATATACGTTATAGTGAATATTTGTATTACTATTTGTTTTGTTTATCTTCGTTACTACCAATCTAATATTTTTTTGGTATTTTTGCGGCTCTATGGCAGTCTTACGACATTGTATTAGACTTACAACATTCTTACAGTGGTCTTTCATGTCATGGTGCTCTCATAGCAGTGGTTCTACAGCCTTGCAGTAACTCTACTGCATTATAGTAGTTATTCAAATCCTATTTCAATAACAACGTTCAATATTAAATATTCCATCAACATTGCTACTGCACTGCACTATGCTGATTTTTATTAGTAAAATGAATGTCTTATGTTCATCCCTTTCAACTTCAATCCAATTAAGATAATAGATCTAATCTTGTATATTCTGGTAAGTGTTCTATCTCTGCTGATAACATTATTTATTCTATTAGCGCCTACCCACTCTTCTGATTTTTTAAAAATAAAAATTGCTTATGTTTGTCCTTTTCAACTCAAATTTCAGTAGCATGCCCTGAATGCCTTTATATTTATCCTTTTCAACTCCAATTTCATTAAGCTACAAATTTCAACACTATATGTTTTATTGGCACTAACTCATTGCTAATTTTTGTTAATAAATGTTTTTATATTCATCTTTTTAATTCCAATTCCATTGAGATAATAAATCCAGTATTATATATTCCAGTAAGCACCCTATCTAGAGATGGGGGAAATGTGCATTTTATAATAACATGCGCTTGAATGCGCATTAATGTGCATGTTATATAAAATGCACATGATATCGCATAATATAATTTTTTTTGATTTATATTTTCCCTCCGGAAAATATCAGATATTTGCCAAAAATTTTTCCCTAACCATTCTCATCTTTATGTTTATTTTTTTTTTTTCAGAATTTTTCAAAACTTCTGCATTCCTATTTCTTAATTTTGCCTTGCATTTTACATCTTGATCTAAATTAAATATACTTTAATTTTCTTATATAAAATTTAGATGGGATAAAATGCGTATAATTCCGAATCATGCACATGATTGAGGAATCATGCGCATACATGAAACCCATCTCTAGTCCTATCTCTGCTGAACAAATCAGATCAAACAATAACATCTCTAGCTATAATAATTAGTGAACGGTAAGTAAAACAATAGATAATTATATAAATTCGTACATGTAATTAATGTGTAAGACTTATACCAAAAACGTAGTTATGCTTGCATAACAGAGTATTGGTCATCTCATTAAGCATGATACACCAACTTGATACATTTGAATTAAAATTTAATTACACAAAATTTTACA